TTTATATATATATAATTTTGCTATTTGGAATCACGATGCCTATCGTCGTGTGAAAATTCAAGCATGATCAGCACACGCTTAGAGTGCTGATCGTTTGATAAATACCTGAACGCCTGATAAATACCACTCGACCGCGATACGAGCAGCAAGCGTTGTGGTGTATATGAGTACCTATACAATTGGCTAATAAACGCCACCGTGTCATTAGAGAAAAGCACCCTGCTAAGTGTAGGGTACCGAACACACGACCGTTTTTGAAGGTCACGTGCGAGGGTAACTACGAATGTAATTCATTGCCATCGCAATTAGTTGCAGCGAAGCTTCAGCGATATGCTAAAGTGCATAGTGTTTTCCATTCAAGGACTCAAGTCGACACAGAATAAACAAAAGTTGACTCTTAGACCGGTATTTGTAATCCGTTGTTATTTAAATAATATTTTAAGATCGTACTTAAAACGATCTCAAATAAGAACTACTTATGAATATCGACCTTAGTCTCTTTTTCTTTCTCTTCTTATAGTTCTTATATTTGCGTTTCATTTATTTTATGTTACTGTGCGTTCTCAAGTCGATTGATTCTTTTTCCGCAGCAGATTGAAAAATAGAATGGAAAAAAAGTAATCTATATAGAAATGCTGCAAAAACTGGAATGAAATTTGATCAGAACAAACTGAAAAATTTTGGTACATCGAGCACATCTGATCTATTTTTCAGATATCGGAAGACAATCTCGAAAACGCTGATCAAATTGTCGAACACATATAATACGTCAAGTTTTATTTTATTCAAACTAAAAGGTTCAGTTTAAAAACATGATCGAATTTTTCTAACTAACTGTAAGTTAATTTGCGGAAGTAATCATAAGAAACATTTGCATCTTTCTTTTTTTCAATATACATATCCTATATTTTTATGTATATATTAACTCTCAACTACAATATATGAGTTGGTCATTTGGAGCGAAAATTTTAGTCGGTCGCAATTTTTGTAGTTATAATATTGCAGGGTTGAAGTGATGGGGTAAAAAAAACTTGGAATCTTTCTCTGTCGATCGCCGTGATGCAATTGTTTCGTTGTTGTCTTGACGTTAATTGTGATACAATAATAGTTTGGCTTGGGTGACTTGGACCCGTCAAATGTAAATTCGAGAGATTTTTGCCGAAAGTGAAAATTCGTTTTTAATAAGTGCCTGCTTATCAGTGCTGTATTCAAGTATATGTGTTATCTTCTTACAATTAAAACATATATTCATTGTTACAAAAAGCATTTTTGCGAGAGAGGCGTCTTGACAAAACGATCGCTCTATTTTCTCGGAGTTATAAAATCGTGAGTAAATAATGTCGAAATTATTATATATTTAATATAAAATATTTTCATTGCATTAAAAAAGAAAATACCCGACATACCTTCGATATCATTATTCCGAACATGTATAAAAATGCTTTCATTTCATTCGTGTGTGTGCAAATAATTATACAATACTTTTTGGAATGAATCAATATAATGTTTTTTTTTCTTAAAGTTCACATTTTCCCCTTTTCAAAACATTACTTATTTTTATTTATATCTTTTTTTATCATAAAGATATGATTTTTTTGAAAAAAAGCTAATTATTGCACTCTTTTACAAATTGTTCTTTACTATTGGCATAACTTTTTCAATTATTATCAAAATCTTTTTATGTTTTAATATTTCGATTCTATACATTGTGGCATTTCATTAGAAAAAAAAATATTTTCGATTGAAATTTGTGATAATTACAGAGCCAGTCAAAACCGCCGTGGGTGACTTGGATCCAGACATATAAATTAATACTCTAAAACGAGATATGTAGTTGAGGGTTAAGAACAGAGATTCTTTTTACATTGCTATAAATTCCAAGCTCTTTATGACGCATTAATTCTCTTGCTGATATCACTCGGTCCAGCAAACTGCTTGTGCCAGTTCAAATATGTCTAGTCCCTTACCTGCACTCGTTCTCGAGTGAATGTGTACCTTAATTCGTGTTTAGCTTTGCTGAATGTGATGTGATAATGTGATGAGAAATGGAGATTAAATAGAAGCAGTCTATGCGCAACCACTAGTACCAGCTTTCCGTCGGAAAGAGAGAACTATATGTAGTTAAACGTATAACACTAATTAAGGAATAGTCTCGTCATGTTTAATTAATAGTTTAATTAATATCTTGTGAAAGAATAGGGCAAACTTGGGTTATTTGATGAGACGCGACGTCGAGATATTAAAAAAACAATAGAAATGAAAAAATATCTGAATCTATAAATAAATGAATAGTGTGTAATATTGAAAATATTTTCTTCCCATTGTGTCGCAAATAGGATATTTTTATAAATAGATTTATAAATGATTTTTCTAGAAATTAGAATTTATATGGATAAATACAAAAATAGAAATCATGAAAGACGCAGAGATTGATTTTACTGTCACGAAGAATCGTATATATATATATACACGTTTCATTTAAAACCTCTTTTTTTACATATAACGGAGGTTAAATGTCGCGCTAAATGACACTCGACGATTACTATATCTTTCAAATCTGAAAGCAGATTCGTGTCAGGAGAAACGCTTATAGAAATATGGAATCCTCAAAATATTGATCGTGAAAGTGTTCCGGACGTTCATTGTGGCATTGGTTATAATTCGCATGCGCATGTTTAAAATAGGTATCGAAGTAACGATGAGAATCAGCTGCGATGCGGTAAATAAGGACAACTCTGTTTTGTGTCACTAACATTAAAAGTAATGTCGTACTATATCCAATTATATCTCTTTTCATCTCGCACCTTGATTTCTTTCTAACTAACATATATTGTGTCGACGAGATATCAAGATGGAATATTGGAAAAATATGTCCAGCTTGACGTATTACACGTTTCCGACGATTATTTTTCCATTTCTGCTTTTGCGTGTATCTCGGGCAATCGTGTGCATTTGCATAAAAAAGAAGCGTAAAAAGTAGGTCACTACTATAGAATGAGAGAAAATAGAGAGAGAGAGAGAGAGAGAGAAAGAGAGAGAGAGAGAGAGAGATTTGCAACCACGTTGTTCGTGGGGAAATGCCTTATTGTTAACAAAAAGTCTAATACTCTCCCTGTAAACGCGCGCGTCCTCTCGTCCATAGAATTCTTTCTTAACAATGGCCGAGATTGTCGGTATATGGTATTGTTGATGCCTTATCGCGATATCAAGCGAGATAAAAGTTTTCATCTCTCGGGTAACCGAAAGAATGCGGCGGATTTAAACGCGTTCATCGTCTTGACTTTATTCCGACATTAATTGTGCTTATATCAGAAACGTTATCTCTGTAGGTGTGCGCCATATTTCATAGCTTAATATCAACGAACGAGTTTTATGCGTTTTCATTAATAATCAGGAATATCGAAGCGGAATATATTCGTTCTTCATAATCTCGTATTAATTTTGTAAAATAACGCTCAGGAATAAAACACAAATTGTAACTCGCGTATAATTTCAATTATATTGACACGCAAGTCTTGCGCCGTTTCTAGATAAATGTATATCTTTCATTATTAATTATTATTTATGTATCGTATATTAAAATCATACAGACCAAGTATCTTTAGTTATATTATACATATTAATACATATTAATACTCTTTCAGCACATACACGTACATTTTGATTTTAAACATAGAAATTTAAGTAAATACTAAATGCAGAGCTCGATAAAATAACTGATACGACTTATTTAAAATAAAAAATATAAAATAAATTTCAGAAACTTATTTAAAATATAAAATCGTAGGAGTATGTCGGTAAAATAATTGACACGACTTATTTGAAATAAAAAATATAAAATAGGTTCCAAGAACTTATTTAAAATATTAAATAAGAAATAGGTCGGAAGAAGTTATTTAAAATAATAAATACTAAATAACTTTTTAATTTTTTCTTTATTTAAAATATATATTTTAAATAAATTTATTTGAAATAAGAGCCCTGACTAAATGCATGTGAATAGGTGAAATTTTATAAAAAATGGTTACTACAGATTACAGTTGACCCCGAAAGGTATAAAAAAATAAAAATTCTCATGGTTTGAACTGTCGTATTTATCAAAGTATCGATTTGGTCTTTTGTTTTCTTACAATTGGTTTAATATCTTAAAATAGTTTAGTAATAATAAATCGTATTATGAATAAAAATACGAGGATTTTTTAATATTTCAAGCAGAGAGAAAGAGAGAGAGGGGGGAGGGGGGAGAAACAGTACACTTTTATTTCTATTAATATTTATGTCGATACGAAGTATGTGTCAATGTAACGGCGCGGCGACGACTGATGCGAGCTGTCACTGCTGTCACCGACGGAGCGTGGTTTAACGACACTCTCGCAGCTCGTAGCCGCGATCAGTTTTTTTGATTTTAATTCGCATGGGTCACGCTACGCGCATGGTATACATGTGTAGACACATTCGTGCCATAAAATACAGATTCCCAATTCTGAACGTTGCACGTCGCGTCGCGCCGCGCCGGCCGGCTGGCTAGCTGCCTGGACGGACAGTCGGGCCAGGGGACGGGTCAGACTGGAGAGGAGCCGCCGCGCCGGAAAAGTACGAAATTTGAGGTGCGCGGTGCGCGCCTGCGCGGTGCGCGCGCAGCTCGTAAGGCCAGTTACGAGGCAGTCGGCAGTACGGAGCATGCCTGCGGCCTGCTCCGCTGGCTCCGTTCAGCTCCGTTCTCCTCTCCGCTCCGCTCATTCTCTTCTCCACGTTTGCGCTTCGGTCATCCCCTCTCCTTCACCCGCGCCGCACCGCGCTGTGTCGAAGCAAAGCAGGAGCAGAGTCGGTCAATACTCCGGGTAACGCGGCGGTGAGAGCACGACGGTCCGCGTACGCACGCCGCTGCGCTCCACGTCGTCGAGGGACGTCGTTTCCTTCGCCTCACGTTTTCTCTATCCTCCTCTCTCTCTCTCTCTCTCTCTCTCTCTCTCTCTCTCTCTCTCTCTCTCTCTCTCTCTCTCCCTCAATTTCTTTTTTAATTTCCGTCCCTCATTCTTTCGTCTGACGCGCGTAATCTCGTCGTTCACCAAGACGTCACCAAGTACGCGCCGTTTGTCATCTCCGTCGTCTCCGTCGTCGTAGCGTTTGTCTGTCCCACTCCAGCACGCGTCGCGAGCGCCGGTAGTGCAACTTGACGTCTCTCCTCGCACGCGTACTACGCCGACTACGCGTAGCTACGCGTAGTATCCAGCGGACGACGCGTTCGAGCGACACGTTCAACCACGTTCGACGTAACGCGTACGTATACCCGAACGTATATACATCTATATGCACACGCGACGAACGTAGAGTGCGTAAACTCGTATCCACGCACGCGTAAGACGCGCACGTCGTCCGTCGTGGGCACGCGCGAGGAGGCGGTGCGCGCGACCGCCGAGAGCGTCGCCGTCGTTCCTGTCATTTCGTTCGTGCGAACTATCGCGTGCAAGAACGTTGTAATGTACGAGTATACGATGTGAATTGGAAGGACCCTGGAACGCGGCAGGGACAGATTCTGTTCCGACTTGAGACTCGAGTGAAGTTGGGTGAGAGACGACTCGCGCGCGCGCCCCCGCGCGCTCGTCGTTCCAAGGATTTTTCAGTGATTCGCGCGATACGGCGCGGATCGGTTGGTGTGCGTTGGTCGCCGAATCGGAGGAAGAAGGAGGAGTGTAATCTCGAGTGTCAAGATCAGCGATGCATCTCAGCGCGTGATGGACAGGCGAAGCTTCCCAGCTAGAAGCAGCGGCAGTGGCGGCTTCTTCTCCACCGGCAGACTCATGGATACGTGGATATTCTTCCTATTCGTCGCCATTGCCGGTAAGTCTTGCACCCTACTTCTCGCCATTCCGTTTCATACGCGTTGTTTTTCTCCGTTTTCCTCTCTGCCCACCAGAAGAGAGAGCCTACGAGGTAAACCTTCCTTCCCTCCCCCCTCTCTCTATCTTTTATGCGCAAACTGCCCGAAAACTTCTCGTCATTTAAACAATTTATTCTATGATCGCTTGACGTTAGTCTGGTATATTTATTTTTTGAATAGTAAACGATAATATGACACAGAATTTTAATACGCGAATTCCGTAAATAGCTATTATTCAAATCTGATTTTCAATCGTTAAACATGTGTCTGTGGAAATTGTATCGCAGAATCGTTAAAGTGTAATTTATATGTCCTAATTCAAGTATGTTTACGTTATGTATAATAAAACGTCACCGATATGATATTTAATAAATAATATTATTTATAACATTTGCGAATTATAAATATTTTAGAGAATATCGTGAATTAATTCTGCTTAGTCGTTTCTCGCAAATTACGATCAATTTATTTCCATTAAATTGCTGAGATCATAATCCACTTAAATGTATTTATTAAAAATTTGATTTTATATATTTTTATATCTAAAAATTTTGATCGCAGCAACGTTTTAACAATTTGATTCTTGCGCTTTGCAATCTTGTCGTTTTAAAGTTTAAACTAATCACAGAATGTACCTAATCATAACGTTAATGTAAAAGCACCTCCAGACGATATGACCAATGTATACGCCAACTTTGCACACATTCATTAAATATTGACTACATTCAATATGGATAATTATGTATGTCACGTATGTATGTGATATTTGCCAATGTTGGCATACGTTGATCGTCTGGGGGCGTCTTAAGAAAAATATCAAGGTACAAAAAAAAACAAAGCTTTTCATTAGAATAAAATTATTGAAAGTTTGTGTAGATTTATTGTAACAATTCTGGACTATTTTTTTCCTTTGAATTTGATATTCTTATAGTTAAAAGATTTTTCAGTGTACTTTTTTGGTAGCGAATCTATATTTAAAATCTATGTCTAAATTTAAAAACGACATACTATATCTAAATTAAAAATCGACATAATATCGAATAGTGAGCAGAATTGAGTAAATTTTGTTATAACTGTTGTCAATTCTCATAAGGTCCAGTTCCACAACTCACGACTAACTCTTAATCGAGATTCAACTTGTCTCTCAACCTCGGTTAAGAGTTAACCGTGAGTTGTGGAACTGGGCCTTATGAGAATTGACAACAACAGTTATAACAAAATTTACTCAATTCTGCTCACTATTCGATATTATGTCGATTTTTAATTATCTTAATTTTAAACGAAATTTTTCCGTTGTGAAAGATATAATATATAAGCGTAATCATTAACGTAAAAAATATGCGCTTGGCTTAACGCCGAGACACTACCATGTCTCTAGATTACAGCGGAGAAGATGTAGACACTTTTTTTGTGCTCCAGCGTATCCGTTTACACGTAGACAAGCTACAGAATTACGTATATTATCATTTTAACTTGCATTGATGACTATCCGCGCAGTCATTCGGATTTAATCCAGATTACACGCAAAAAAATATTTTACTGCTCCAGCTAGAATTATTGCTGTTTTTTTGTACCTGATGGAAAATTATGTATCGTACGCATAGAATTTATAGCACAAATCTAAATTCTATCTTTGTTATCTACATGATTAAATGCAATCATATCCAATATCGCAGTACTTGCTAGAAATTTATCTATTCCAGCTATTTTTCGTACTTACAAGATAATTTTCGCTGTAACTGCAAGATCACTTTTTTGAATACAGAGTCTGATCTTTGTGGATACTCTGCACTTACATTTACACATTATTTATCAATTCTTGATCTTGATAAAAGGCTCCGAAGAATGGATTTTAGGAATAACATACATACATTTACACATTATTTATATCTACATATGTGCTTTTACGAATAGTCCTGTAATAAGTATATGGAGGAAGAGTGAAAGTAAGATAATTCCAGCTTAATTTAAAGATAATAAGAAGAATAAGAATGAAAACTAGATCTATATATGTGCCTGATATAGACACAGCAAAATTAGCAAATGCTAAAGCACGTTTCTTATTTATCACATGTCCTTTGACCATAAAAAAATGTCGTTTTACTTATAGAGTCTAGATAGTAGATGACGAATTGCCATAGGAATAGTGCAGATTTAAAATAATATTACGCGAATGAGATGGACAATAAATACTGACAACTATTACTATCTATCTTGTCATTTGATGTATGAAGATTTGGAAATGTTTGAAGATGTAGGAATAATAAATAGGAATCGAAGCAAATTATTAATTTTACAACCATAAATTTAATGTATGTGTCTTAACTTTCCCATCTGCTGTATATTCAAAAAATATGAAAAATTATATCTTTTTTAAATCTTTTTAAATCTTTTTATTGGGAGGAAAAGTAGCGAGGGGATTCTACGAGGGAATATCTCGTGACCTAATTTACTTTGCTATTATTATTCCTGTTTATTTCCAATCTATTCGTCAGGCATGTAACATAAAATAGGATCGATGGCTTTGCAATTTTTTTGTGGAATCAATAATTCAGATACTTTCTAAAGCATATATGCACAGAGAGCTTAGCACCCCTTGGTTGTCCCATCCATCGTGATTCGACGATATGCACTTGCGTCTCGCTTTGTTCGTTGTGTCGATGCGCATTACGTATGCAGCACGTGCGACACGACGAGGGTGTGAGTGCATGATGTGGCGTCGCGTCGCGTCGTATCGCGTCGTATCGCTAACGTTGTCTTGAACGCGTTTCATTCAAGAAAACGGCAGGAAGCGATAACAGACGAAAGAAGAATCTTATTTCCGTTATTGATCTTTGATCCACAGTTTTTAATTTGAGACTCTTTACAACCAATTAATTAACATTTTGATAGCCCACGGTGATGTTGTCAAGAATATAATATCGCAGCATCTAAATATTTTTTGTTTAGAATTACGTTGTCTACAGTGTCTTTATAGGTAAAGAGATACATGTGTATATATATTTACATATATATATACACAGGATGATTGATTTTAATCTGAACAGCAAATATTTCGAAAATATGCAATTTTACAAAAAAAAAAAAAACATTCCAAATAGACATCGCCATCTATCCATACAAGTTTTGTATGGAATGTTTTTTTGTAAAATTGAATATTTTCAAAATATTTATCTGTTAAGATTAAAAATGAATACCGGAAAATATACACCCGGTATATGTTATACTTGCTAACGTAAAAATGCAAAAATAAACGTTTGTGAGTACATTATATATGTAATAGTAAGTGAAAATAAAAATTATAGCAATTATTAAATGGAGATATAACCTGTAGTAATTGAAAGTTATATTATATTACCTAGGAAGTGAAGTAGTTATACCAATAACCGGATAATTACTCCATGGAGATTGTAATCTTTTTTTTAATGATTATGTGGAAAAGTTTCCTTTACTCATCGTATTTCTTTTCTTAGTAATGAGATGATATTGTAATGTGGATATTAACGAGTATTCTCGCTCGTATAACTCACTTTCAATCAAACGCATCGTAAAATTAGGTTTCATGTAATACAATAATTTTAAAGTTTTGTGTTTTAGTTATACATATATGTATAAGGAGCAATAAAAAAAATATATTCTCTAATATCGATGCTATCAACGGATTTTGCTCTGGATATGCAAAAAAAACTCCGCTTTTGAGTTCCGCCATAGGCTCAACTCATGCATAATTTATATAGTCGTCATCGTGAAAAGTGAGTGGGCAAATATTTCCGATACTGTTTGTTGGAATCAATCAGATGATACAAGAAACTGAAAAACTTCTGAAGATGGTTTATTTTACGTGTATATGTATACATTTGGATGTGAATTAATATTTTACAGTTTTTTTATTTTTAAAAGATAGTTACACTGTTTTCAATTGTGTAAAAGACGTCTGCCTAGCTGGCCCCCCCACCTAACCAAATCTTAATGAAAAAATTATGGAATAATGCGCTATTTATGCGCTATTCATATCCGCAAACAAAAATTTTTGCGCTCCTTCCGTTTAGCTAAAAAAAAAAATTTTTTGTGGGGGGGCTGAGTAGGCAGTCAGTCAGCCCCCCCACCCATTAAAAATAATTGATTTGAAAAATTAAATACACAGGATTTATGCGCTATTTATGCGCTACTATTTCCAAGCGTTTTCGATTTTTGCGCTGCTACCCTTAAGGCACTTCCCTCTTGGAGCAAACAGACATATTCACCCTTAAATCGTTTAAAATTGCAAAATTAAATACTCTGACTATGCATAATAATTCTCTGATTTATGCGCTACTATTTCCAAGCGTTTTCGATTTTTGCGCTGCAACCCTTAAGGCACTTCCCTCTTGGAGCAAACAGACATATTCACCCTTAAATCGTTTAAAATTGCAAAATTAAATACTCTGACTATGCATAATAATTCTCTGATTTATGCGCTACTATTTCCAAGCGTTTTCGATTTTTGCGCTGCAACCCTTAAGGCACTTCCCTCTTGGAGCAAACAGACATATTAACGATTAAGTCGTTTAAAATTGCAAAATTAAATACTCTGACTATGCATAATAATTCTCTGATTTATGCGCTACTATTTCCAAGCGTTTTCGATTTTTGCGCTGCAACCCTTAAGGCACTTCCCTCTTGGAGCAAACAGACATATTAACCCTTAAATCGTTTAAAATTGCAAAATTAAATACTCTGACTATGCATAATAATTCTCTGATTTATGCGCTACTATTTCCAAGCGTTTTCGATTTTTGCGCTGCAACCCTTAAGGCACTTCCCTCTTGGAGCAAACAGACATATTCACCCTTAAGTCGTTTAAAATTGCAAAATTAAATACTCTGACTATGCATAATAATTCTCTGATTTATGCGCTACTATTTCCAAGCGTTTTCGATTTTTGCGCTGCAACCCTTAAGGCACTTCCCTCTTGGAGCAA